AAGCCCAAAGATAAATGGCTCTAGCCAATAATGATTCCGCTGATGAAACCTGCACTCCTGCCAAGGATGCATTAAAGTTCTTGCCGAAGGCCAGGTTGATCCTCACCCTGCAGGGATCCCTGAGAAGACCACTGGAATCCAAAATGACCATGCTGGAGGTCAGGTCTGCCATGGAAGTGTCGACCATGGGAAGCTTGAACCATTCTGCCAGCTCCAGAACCATGGGACTGAGCTGGGAAATAATCTGGTGATTATCTGCAAGAGCCTCCCATTCTGACTTGAAAACCATGTCAAAAACCAAAGGGAAGAGAAGGTACCTAGAAGTGGTTTCTGCATGTGGGAAAGCCATAGTTTAGCATGCTGGTCTAGCCAGATCTAGTTCTTCTAATTCTTTCTTGCCCTGTGGAATCTTGAGAATATGGAGAATCTTAGGCAGCAATTTTGGAAAGACGTCTTGCAGAAAAAGATGAGTCTGCATGTTCACCAGCGGCTCTTCTTTCTCAGAGAGTTCACCCTCCTCTCTGTTCAAGAAGGCATCTGACCGGTCCGAGACCTCTGAGGTGGGATCCAGCAAAAGACTATGTTCTCTACTACGGATACTGGGAGAGAAATTCTGCTGCCATGACCTAGGGATTCTTGTGGGGTAGGGAGGATTATTGGGTAGGAAAACTTGCTTCTCCTCTCAGCTTTGTCCAGCAGAATAGCAGACAGAATGAGGCCTGCTTCAGCATTTAGGACGGCAACTGCATTTGGCCCCACAACGCTGAGCTTCAGCTAGGGTGGCAGAGCTGATTTCCTTCTGCATTTCTCCCTTGATCCAAGCCAAAAGGTTTGGTTGTGCATTTTCACCCAACAGATCAGGCCCTGGCAAGTCTGCTGGCCTGACCTGGCTAGAGGAGAGGCAGTCTCTAGAAGAGGAGGGACTCAACTGGAAAGAGGAAGGACCACACTCCTCGCACCGTGGTCCAAATCTGCAAGACTGACACATGTCACTCTCTTGCCACTCTCTTTTCCCACTTTGTCCCTGAAGGAGACCAAGGGTGACCACCTCTCTTTTGGTCCCGCTGCTATAATGAGCACCCTTCAGCCGACCACTCTGAACAACTCTGGTGAAACACTATATGCTCAGCTGCAGGCTCCTGGGAAACGTGGGGGATGTGGAAAGCATCACAAGGCCTCAAAGTACTCTCAGATGGACCCAGGTCAGGTGGTCACAGCGTTCCTCTGTCCAGTCCTGAGGAACAGGCACCTCAGCTGCAGCTGCCAATGCTCTTCCATTGCCTCAGATGGAGCTACGGGGAGCTACTGTGGTCAAAGCATGGAGCCCCCACAGTGTCCCTCCCCTTCTAGCGAGAGACCCTTGAAGTGAAGTGAAGTGGAATGGTATGCCAGAAAGGTACCCCTGGCCCTACTCCTGCAGCAACAGATGATAAAGCCCCTCAAGATAGGCAGAGAGGAGAATAACAAACAAGAACACTGTGAAAAAGCAGTGAGCGCAGTGAGATGGCCACCTGTCTGCAAGCCAGACAGGTCCGAAACTGGGGGTTGTGGAAGAAGCCACTCACACTAGGAGTCAGTAAAAGACTGCTGACCCTGCTGGCCTCCAGGCGGAGCTTCTACCCATGAGTTGTAACCAGTGTTCCCTCTAAGCTGAGTTAGTGTGAGCTAGCTCACAGTTTTTTAGCATCTGGTTCACACATTTTTGTCTCAGCTCAGGAAGGATGGCTCTAGAGCAAACTGATTTATGCAGTAGCCAAACCACTCGCTCACTACTTTAATGCCAGTAGCTCACAAAGTAGAATTTTTGCTCACAAGTCTCCATAGTTTAGAGGGAACATTGGTTGTAACTGCCCACCCTGGACCACTGGAGAAACTCACAACATCCACGTCTACATTAAAATGACCCAAATGCAGAGGCAGAGTAATAGACTTGGGAGAACTGCTTGGTGTAAGAGGAATGCTTTTCCTGAAGCACAGAGCACAGCTTTTTTGGGCTGATAACAAATTCCAGAGAAAAGTCTGTAATAAGTAAAGAAGCCAGTGCTCCACTGTAAAAACACTCTAGGAGGCCTGGAATGGAGTGTTTGTGTTGGAGCTTACTTGACACAACTTTTGAAGTAAAAGAGACAGTTTATTACGGCTCCGATCACACCACAAGTAGCCACGCATGAGGGACGAATGCCAGGTGGATTTAACAGGCGCAATCACATGGACACATCTGGCAAGCATCGCGCACCCGCTCCCGACCCGTACCACCCAGCCGAAGATGTGGAGTAAAAAAGTATCTCGGAAAGTCCAGCAGCAAATTGTTTGCAATGGGCCTCAGATGGACTGTCTCCGTCTGATCGCTCCAGCGCGCTCCTACTGCCTCCTTGTTGAAGCACGCCAAAATCCTCTGACAGAACCCCCCCCGGGTTAACGGCCATCGCGTCTGACCGCCGTAGTGGCACGTCAAATTACGATGGCACAAATAGCCTCGCCTCCCACCCCCCCCCCGTGTTATCTGATACGTGTGACCGCAGACTACAGAACTTACTCAAATTGTGCCTGTTCTGCAAGCCATGGCCAGGGCTTGTGTTTTCCTACAAGCTGAGATGCTCAGGGTTCCATCAGCTCCCTCAGTGTTAGCATTAAGCCTTCCTGTAAATTCTCTGTGAATTGTTCAAAAAAGCTGCCTTCTGCTTTTTGATACTGATCTTGCAGAATACAGAAACAAAAATGCCTTCAATGTAAAGTTCTATGACATGAACAAAGGATGTGGGGAAAAGGCTCGTCATGTACCAAGCTGAGCCAAGAAGCTATAAAAGTATGACACCACTGCTCACTCCTCCAAGCAGTATTTAGAAAGGTGTAAGAGGCAAGAAAAGATCATTGCACTTGTGTTTTGTGCAAAGGAAGACAGTCTCCTTCCTTCCAGTCCTCTGGTGCAAGCAGAAAACTTGGGGAGAAGGTGGGTTGGTGGGGATCACAAATAGTGGCCAACTAGTGAGTCGAGTCAAGATTTGGAATTGCTAGAGATATTTGCCTATCAATATTAAAGTTTTTGCACTTTATAATGCATATCGATAATAATAGAAGACCAATAGAATATTATTACCTTTGTGCGTTGGAACTGGTCTATCATGCCCATCCATTTGACCTAATGGGTCATCAGAATCTGGTAGCTCCATTTCCCCTAAGAGAAAAACACAAATATTTTAACATCAGACCCTAGGTCACATGTAATTTATTTGTTTCTCTCTCACCATTTTGACTTGCAAGCTTGGCTAGATTATTTTGTTTTATTTACTTCATTTATATTCTCTACTGTGGGATGCAGAAGCAGTTTACAACATCCTCCTCTCCTTTATTTAATATTCATAACATCCCTGTGAGGTAGGTTATGCTGGGAATATGTGACTGGCCTGTGGTCACCCAGCAAACTTCCATGACAGACTGGGAATACAAATAAGAACCTAGTCCAACGCTCTAACCACTATACCCAGGGTTGCCAGCATCCAGATGGGTTCTGAATTACAACTGATCTCCAGACTACAAGATTGGTTCGCCTGGAGGAAATGGCAGCTTTGGAGGGTAGACTATATGGAATTGCATCCCCACTGAGCTCCCTCTCGTCCCCAGACTCTGCCCTCCCCAGGTTCGACCCCTGAACCTCCAGAAATTTCCCAAGCCAGAGTTGGCAACCCTGACTACACCACACTGGGTCTTAACTCTCTGGTTCTAGGCTCTTGCAAACACCCTGATCACTGAAGGCCTGGGTCTGCGCATGCAACAGAATGAGGTGTTAGAACCAAGTGCAACACTTCAAATGCCCTGGGGCTGGAATCACATTTGTAATCCTCCTTTGTATCAGAATACTAGTGAAAGAGGCTCTGGTCTATGCACTTGACAGCAAGTTTTTAAGTTCCATATCTAAAGGATTTTTGATACAACAGTTTCAAAGGACACTGTGTATATTTTTATGGATGAAATTAAAAAAAACATTGCTTTGCTGGAAATTTTTTTTTATCCATTCCACAATAGAATTCCTTCCACGTTCTCATCAACAAGTGGAAGGGACCCCACCCCCATCGAGGAGTCAGAAGAAAGGGGGTTCTAACTGATGAACAACTCATGGTATTACAGCAGGGTTCCCTAGAGTAGTATCCATGGGCACCATGGTACTGTACAGATCTTCTTAGAAAGTGGGTGTGGCAAGTATAAGTCAGAGATTGTTACCGGCTGTCCTCATTCAAATGAAATGGTTTTCCATGGCTTCAATAGAAGCCACTGGGGGATTAGGAGAAGTGATAAGGATTCCTCCTCAGGCACTCTTGATTTTTAATCCTTCTCCCTGAACATTGCTTCTTCTCTTTTTATTTCCTAATCTTCCTCCCACCCCCTAAGGTTGCCAGGTCCCCTTGTTGCACCAGTGGGGGAATTTGGGGGGCATTCTGGGACATTCCCAACATGATGATATCACCTGGAAGTGACATCATCACATCAGAGACGTCGCACAGAGACACTCTGGGTTTTGGGCAGAACTCTATGGTAAAACTGGCTTCAAACCATAGAGTTTTGCCCTCAAAACAGAGTGTCGCCCCAGTGTGATTATGTCATTTCTGGGTGATGTCATTGTGTTGGGGACATCACAAAGCAATGCTGTTTGGAGGTGGGGCTCCCCCGCGGGCAAGATGGCTGGCAGCAGGCAGAAGCCCCAAAAACCAGGGGAAATCCCACCAGGACCTGGGGACTGGCAACCCAGCCGCCTCCTCTCAGGCTTTCCTTCATTGCTTTTTATCTCCCTTCTGTAACTCTTTTGAAAAATGAGGACAGAAGTACTGTGTTTGGCTCTGCCTCTTAAGCCATTTTGTGGTAGCACTAGTCACCACGCCTCCTCAAAATTTCTAAGGTACCTGGAAATTTGAAAAGTACTACACTACTACCCTGTACTACATGTTCTTCCTAGATTATCAAGATTTTTCAGAAGAAATATTCCAAACGTTTGTAAAAAACCTGTTCAGCATGCTATAATTAGGGCCCATACAAGATGAATGATGCGGAATGGACAGCTGAATTCTGATATCTTCTTGCCTAATTTTCCCTATTTGTGCAGGACTGTTGCATCCACATTCAAGGGAACTGATACCAAAAGCAAATAGTTTGTAACTGTCCCTAACAATATGTATCACAAATAAATGAAATGCAAATTCCTTGCTTCCTTTAGAAATAACACAATGGATTGTACATGCAAGAGTAATTTCCAAAGCAACTTTGTCATTACATCAAAATCGGGATAGGGACAAAATGTGTTTTACTTGTTTAAGAAGTCTCATACTGGAACCTCACTTCTTTTCTAGACTGATAATGGAAAAGAGGAACCAGGAAAAAATGCTACGCCATCTAGTTTTGAACACAGAGTTGTACTGAGAACAAACGGAATGTAGGTTGGGAACTTGATGCAGAATCAGCAGGATGCTCTTGAAGCCCAAAGTTCCTTCCAGTTATACAGAACTCACTGCTGGGGTATAGCACTCAGAAAAAATATGTACGCAGGTTAGGAAAGGCACAAATAGGTATAGAAAAAAGCCTGCATGGTTAACAAACAAAGTAATGGAAGCTGTAAAAGGTAAAAAGGATTCCTTTAAGTGGTGGAAAGATAGCCACAGTGAGGTTGATAAAAGGGAGCACTGGATGTGACAAATAAAATGCAAGTCTGTGGTCAGGCAGGCAAAAAGGGAATATGAGGCAAATATAGCAAAAAACATAAAGGCCAACAATAAAACTTTCTTCAATTACATTAGAAGCAGGAAACCAGCCAGGGAGGCAGTGGGGCCCTTGGATGACCAAGGGGTAAAAGGAGTACTGAAGGATGATAGGGAAATGGCTGAGAAGCTGAATGCATTTTTTGCCTCTGTCTTCACTGTGGAAGATGAGAAGTGCTTGCCCACTCCAGAACCGCTGATTTCAGGAGGGGTATTGAAAGACCTGAGTCAGATTGAGGTGATGAGAGAGGGCGTTCTACGACTGAAAGACAACTTAAAAACTGATAAATCACCAGGCCCGGATGGCATACATCCAAGAGCTCTGAAAGAACTCTAATGTGAACTTGTGGATCTCCTTACAAAATTTTGTAATCTTTCATTAAAATCTGCCTCCATTCCTGAGGACTGGAAGGCAGTTAATGTCACTCCCATCTTTAAAAAGGGTTCCAGAGGAGATCCGGGAAATTACAGGCCAGTCAGTCTGACATCAATACCGGGTAAGTTGGTGGAAACTGTTACTAAGGAAAGAATTAGTAGGCACATTGATGAACAAAAACTATTGAGGCAGACTCAGCATGGGTTCTGTAAGGGTTCTGTAGTTGTTTCACTAACCTGTTAGTGTTGTTTGAGGGAGTGAACAAACATGTGGACAAGGGGGACCCAACAGATATTGTTTACCTTGACTTCCAGAAAGCTTTTGATAAAGTTCCTCATCAAAGGCTCCTAAGTAAGCTCAATAGTAATGGGATAAAAAGACAGGTCCTTTTGTGGATCAAAAACTGGCTAATTAATAGGAAACAGAGAGTGAGTATAAATGGGAAATTCTCTCAGTGGAGGGTGGTAAGCAGTGGGGTACCACAGGGCTAAGTACTCGATCCAATGCTTTTTAACTTGTTTATTAATTATTTGGAATTGGAGTAAGCAGTGAAGTGGCTAAATCTGCAGATGACACAAAGTTGTTCAGGGTGGTGAGAACCAGGGAGGATTGTGAGGCACTCCAAAGGGATCTGTCAAGGATGGGTGAGTGGGCGTCAACGTGGCAGTGATGCACATTGGAGCAAAAAATCCTAACTATAAATACACGGTGATGGGGTCTGAACTGGCAGAGACTGACCAAGAGAGAGATCTTGGAGTCGTAGTAGATAACTCAATGAAAATGTGATAACTCAATGAAAATGCTGAGACAGTGTGCGACTGCAGTAAAAAAAAGGCCAACACTATACTGGGGATTATTAGGAAGGGAACTGAAAACAAATCAGCCAGTATCATAATGCCCCTGTATAAATTGATGGTGCAACCTCATTTGGAGTACCGTGTACAGTTCTGGTCACCACACCTCAAAAAGGAAAGTGCAGAAAAGGGCTACTAGAATAATAAAAGTGTTGGAACACTTTCCCTATGAAGAAAGGTTAAAATGCTTGGGGTCTTTACTTTGGAGAAATGACGGCTAAGGGGTGACATGATTGAGGTTTATAAGATTATGCATGGGATAGAGCAGGTTGAGAAAGAAGTACTTTTCTCCCTTTCTCACAATACAAGAACTTATGGGCACTCAATTAAATTGCTGAGCAGTCAGGTTAGAACGGATAAAAGGAAGTACTTCTTCACCCAAAGAGTGATTAACACATGGAATTCACTGCCGAAGGAGGTGGTGGCAGCTACAAGCATGGACAGCTTCAAGAGGGAACTGGATAAACATAAGGAGCAGAGATCCATCAGTGGCTATTAGCCACAAGGTATAGATAGGAACTCTCAGTCTGGGGCAAGTGATGCTCTGTATTCTTGGTGCTTGGGGGGAGGGGGCAACAGTGGGAGGGCTTCTAGTGTCCTGGCCCCACTGGTGGACCTCCTGATGGCACCTGGTATTTTGGCCACTGTGTGACAGTGTTGGACTGGATGGGCCATTGGCCTGATCCAACACTGGCTTCTCTTATGTTCTTGTGTACTTAACTAACACATAAATTAACTGATAATGGCATAGAAATCAATACCCAGGAGTCATCAACACAACTTATCCATACTATGACTTGCAAATAAATACTGCAGATTTTAAGAGACATTTAAAAATTAGTATTTTCATAGAAAATTTAACTTTTTAAAACAGAAAACTCAGCATCTTTTCTTGTGTTTTCAAGCCCTATTCTTTGCTGGTGGAATCCTAGAGTCAAACAGGAGAATGGGGGGTTATTTCCCAGCTCCCACCCTCCTGCATTCCTAACTGATTTTTAAAACCCTCAAATCAAGATGGAAAGAGACAAAAGTATTTGCTCATAAAAAACCCGCCTCTTAAATAGCAGCTTTGTGCAAGGCTTCCATGTGTTCAGTATGTTTATTTCTGGCAAAGCAAGCTACCTCCAGATGTGCCTTATCAGTGGATAATTACAAGGCACAGAAAGTACAAACAGAAAAAATCTGTATGAATAGTATGTTAAATTTGAAAGATCCTCTTTGCATTCTGCAAATTATATATCGGAAACAGACAAGTCATTTCTAACTTTCCCCTTTAAAATTACCTTTTTAAAAAGGTATTCTGACTTTGAACATTCACCTTCAATTATAATCATCTCTGAATTTCAACCTAGACATTTTTCTAACTGGTAATCAATGCAACACCAGACTCTGAGCTGCAGAACTTAATGGAGCTTTAATAGTGTACTCATCAATAATCCATCAAAGCCAAGGAACATTTACTCCTTTCCAATAAAACAGTAATAGTTTCAGTACATATAGGTGCTTCAAAAATAGCCATATTTTCCTGTTGTTGACCAACAGGGATGCCCCAGGTGGGGGCGGGGACCCCCCAATTTTTGGGTGTCCCCCAGATACCAGCCAGCCAGCTGGCGAGGGAAGCCCCACAACCCCAACAGTCATCTGTGGCCCAGTTGAAAAGCGCGGACACCATGCACATCTGCCCCCACAAGCCATGAATTGCGGCTTGGAGGGCAGGCACGCACGGTGCCTGCTCTTTTCAAATGGGGCCACCTGCTCCTGCCCCGCAAAGCACGAATTTGCGGCTTGCAGGGCAGGTATGCATGGCATCCACTCTTTTCAAGTGGGGGCCATGTGCGCCTGCCCTGCAAACCACAAATTCATGGCTTGCAGGGTAGGTGAGCACAGCACCCGCTTCCCCCCAACCATTTAAAGGGAACTTTCCCTTTAAATTGTTGGAAGAAAGCAGGGCGGGTGCGTGGGTGTGTGGGACTGTGTCCCTGACATCACGCTGTATAATATCATCATATTGAGGATGGCCCCTCCCCCTCCTGGAGTGCCCCCCCAAATCCCCCCACCGGGGAGAAGATGGGACGTGACAACCCTATTGACTAATTCAACTATAGGCATATTGTGCGGATGAAATGGAAAAGAGAAACATTTCTGCCATCTTGGAGAAAAGGCAGGATAAAAAATGTACTAAACAAACAAAGCAAGCAAGCAAACAACCAATAAAGGAACCTCCACAACCACTGCTTTCTATATAGTGGATTAACATAACCTACACTACACATTCTCAGCAATCATGCCGGGGGGGGGGGTCATCAGTATCTCCTCCACTGTGGACTTGCATGCCTGCCTAATTTTGTGAACAGTGACAGTGTTTGTGACATTGAAGCCAACCCTTTTACTAACATTTGAAGCCAAACTATAATAATCTCTTTATGGAATTATATAAACTGGTTAACTAACATCAAACATTATTCAGTTGCAAAGTTACCAGGGCCACTGTGGAACTTGCAATAGGATTCTGTATAGATTTACTCCATTGTAAACCCATAAAATTGGACTGGAGTAGCTCTACATAGGATTGTACTACTAGCAGCCAGATTGTCAATAGCTTTCTTTGAAAATCTGACACACACACAAAAAGGATCCCTCAGACCTAAATGATCAATACAATAAACCTACATGGAACCCCAGAGACAACATACTAACATTATCCTTTTCAAAGCTTTATCTAAAAGATAGCATTCTGGAATAATGTTGCACTACTTCTTCAGTGACTGATTTATAGAGTGGTCATAAAAATCTACAAATAGGCCAGTATGTGAAATGAACTACTGACCTTTGGTGCTAAGCAATGAAAACGGGCTGATGGCCAAATTTGATATGGCAATTATATTTCATTATTATGTTCTCCTGCGAGGTTGAGCTAACAAAGGAATTTGCTAGTTGTGTAAAAGGCAAATTCAATAATTGCACAGCATGTACTAGTCAACAGGGCACATGGTGCAGTGCTACCATTCACATTTGCTTCTGCCTCACTAGAGCTTGTGGGAATGGAAACAAAGAAGGAGACGTACCCTATTACCACGCAATCTCTACAACTTCATGTCAAGCAGCGTGCTCAACACCCTGGTACCTTAGCGCACACGTTACACCTATACAGTTTAAGCATGTGCATAAAATAAAAGCAATTGTGCCCATCAGTCAGTTTGAAACTCTGTTGCTCAGCACATCCCTGCCAATCCTTTCTGTTCTACTGGGATGCAAGGCAAGAGCTCACCATATGATACCAGTGTGAGAGACTTAGGGAACTCATCCCAAATATTTTTTTCATTAGTGTAATGAACAATAAAAAATGGGTTAAAGTCAGCCATTGCATTTACTACACTTCTCAAAATGGAACAGGCTAATAGCCCAGGACTCTGAGAGAAGCTGGGACACTAGTGGCAGGCAGGGGGAAAGAATCACAGCTTGCAACAGATCAATCACTATTGTTTGACCTGCTCCTTTTCTCTAAGAACTCTCAGTCTGGGGCAAGTGATGCACTGTATTCTTGGTGCTGGGGGGGGGCAACAGTGGGAGGGCTTCTAGTGTCCTGGCCCCACTCATGGACCTCCTGATGCCTCCTGGTATTTTTGGCCACTGTGTGACAAAGTGTTGGACTGGATGGGCCACTGGCCTGATCCAACATTGGCTTCTCTTATGTTCTTAAGCCATCTCTATATGGATAAATTAGTGAAATGATGAGTTAACATCCAGTTGAACCAGTGAACTTGCATACTGCAACAGATTGGACCTGCTCAATAGCACCTGCTCCAATTTCATGTAGAAGGGGAGTCTAAATTAGATGCAATGCCCCAGAAATTTTTTGAAGCTGTGGCAGAAAGCTCATGGAAAACTTCATATGCTGCAGCAGTGAAGGAAAAACTAAAGGCACTGCTAGAAAATATTGGGAAAGTAAAATGAAAACAGAAAGCAGAATGAAGTAGTAAGTAAGCACATTTAATGAACTATATCAAAATAGTACAGTTGACATATACACAGTCTGTTTATCCCCAGGGGTCTTTTGGGGCCTGAGCATGCTGGAGCACCGCTCAGGGAGCCCAGGCGCCCGAGGAGGCGGCAGCAAGCCCCACCCCCAGCTCCCCACACTGCGACCCCCTGCTGCCTCCCTGGGCCAGTGCCGGAGCGCTGCGGCCCATGGGAGGCTAGAAGAGCCCCCCTGCTGCCTCCTAGGGCCAGCGCAGAGCGCTGCGTCCCGTGGGTGGTTAGAAGAGGCCCCTACCGCTGCCTCCTGGGGTAAGTGAGGGATGTGCGGGGAGGGGGGGTGGCGGAGGCTTGATTGGGGAGGT